TCGATCTTTCACATGTACTCAAAAGAAAATGTTAGTTTGCGAAAAATCAAGTGACCTCGGTGGGCATTCCACTGGACCTCTGCAGCAAGAGTAGGGACAGTTTTCGCCAAGACACTGCCATCCCGATCTTCTCCGGGCTTGCGTCCATCCATCTGTGACATTTCTGCTATCACCTCCTCTGCGTCGGAGAGACGGCCGGTGTCATCAGCCATCTCGGCAAAGTACGTATAAGAAATCCCACTGTTTTCGGTAGTCCTCATGAATCGAATTTTATATATTTCGTAATGCTGATGCGAATAGATAAGGGGTTAAGATAAAAATGTCCTGGGCTTCATCAATAGCGAACGTAGGGAAACTTTTCGTAGACATTGACGTACGGATTTCCTCTGGGTGCGCGGCAATCCATCTGTGTCGTTTACACTATCACCTCTTCTGCGCCGCAAGAACTGCCGGGGGTCATCAGCCATCTCGACGAATCATGGGGGAACCTGGTCCATGGAAGAGCGGCGTACTGCGAGTTCGAGATTCAAGGGGTTACATCAGAGGTGTCAAACTCAAATCGGTCGGCGGGCCGCATTACTTACCCTGCAGATGTCTGCGGGCCATGCCCATAATTTTTCATTGAAATTTGTGCTGAAGGTCAATCCAAGCGGAAATTTCTCGAACCGACGGCGGGCCTGATGAACCGTGTGTTTGACACCCCTGGGCTACATGATATGAAGATACACAAATAGCACAATACCGAACGCCTTTCGGAGAAGTGCTCACACGTCATTACCTGCACTCGACCCGAGACTCGATTGCCGAACGAACCGGTCCAAAGACTGCTTTGTCCTTTGAGCTTCAAGAACTCGCGGTCTCAAATGACGCATTCTCTCGCACCCGACGGAAAACTCGATCGTCGTTCTCGCTTCATGCCCGATGCACGGGTCGGATCTGTCCCATCGAGACGATCTGAATCCCGGCCGAGCTCAAGATCTTCCCCATTTCTACTGTGGCATTCTTAAATGAAAAGGACGGGTCACACATTAACGTTAAAAGAAGCGAAACTCGCGGAGCATTTGCATACCGGCGATTGGGGGGTGGGGCGGCTCTGGCCAACTTCTTCGCTTCTCTCTTTCGAGGCGTCTTTGGCGGTGCCGCCCGCTGATTCTTTCTCTTTCTCTTCTCCCGACGATCCTCGGGTCATCCTCAAATCTACTGCGTGGTCATTTGGGTATCATTATTTGTGGGTTTTTTTTTCTCCTCACGGGTTCTATTGCAATAAATGGTTCTACTGCTATGAAGGAAGATAGTTGGGATTTTCCTCCACTCCTTTTTTTATACATGGATATGTGGTACATTAGGTAATTATTACACGTTTCAATGTCTTCTCCTTTATGACACCCGGGGAGGTAAGGTAGGAGTGATTTTCACAAATGCTACTTGAGAGATAATTTTTTTTTATCATTCATTTTCTCTTAAATCTGGTCATATGGGCAGCCCTCCACCCGCTAGAATCTTCCCATTATGTTATCGTCCCGCCCGTTCAATTCAATCTGTATACATGTGTGAACAAAACTTCAATATTTTTCTGCCTGACGTATACCTTGAAGTTAATTTTAGCGGTTGTGATCGAGCTATTCCTGAATGGGCCAAGTCCATGGACCATCGGCAACTCAAGTCCAGTGGTTAGCAGCGAATTTCGTTTATTTTACTCTCAGTCGTTACCATTAGACTTCAGTTGTCCATGGCAGGAACCGTACCGGTTGACCGCGTTCTTTTCGCACGCTGCAGCCTGTCAAGAATGTGAAGGTGCGGACCAGGCGGAACCCTCAGCGTCCAGGTCGTAAATTGGCGATCGAGGTGAATACCTTGTACACAACCATACGATTAGGGTCGAACCCTTTGACTGTATGGAAGAATCAAGTTCTTAACCACCCAGACCAATCATGCCAGAAAGGAAAAATGTCGGGCTCTGCTTCAACGGCTCACGCCAAAGTAGATTGCACCCTTTTCTCTCTAATGATAAGCTGTTAAATATGGAGGCTAAGTGGAATACCCAAAATAACAGGGTCTCTGGGACACGCGCCAAATAATTGCCTGAGGGTGTAGACAAGATGCAGAGGTCATTCAATGACATTCAATGTAGGTGATAGTTTGCGCTGAAATATCTATCATGGGTACGACTTTCCTCGTTTTTCTGATCAAAAACTGTTGCCGGGACAATTTGCCGAGCTTCATATCCATTGTTGAATGACCTGACCTCTCAACCAATCTCGATCCGCTAGACTACTATGTTCG